TTTTTTTAGAGAAAAAGGAAAAAAAAAAAAAAAAACTGATATGAAAGTTATACTATTAAATAATTCTATGCATATATAAATAAAATGAAAGTTTAAAAAGTACAAAATTAAAATAAATAATATTATTTTAAATATCTTTTTTTTTTGTATCAATAAATAATAACAAAACAAAAATAATATAAAAAAAAGAAAGAAAAAAATGAAATTACCTAGAGAAGTGGTTTTTCAAGTTGCAAAAGGATTTAGGGGAAGAAGTAAAGGCTGTTTTAAAATTGCAAGAAGTAGAGCGATGAAAGCTTTGTTATATTCTTATATTATGAGGCGTCAAAGATATAGACGATTAAGAGTAAAAGCAAAAAAAAAATAAAATATATATATATATATATATATGAAATAATTTATATAATTAAAATTAAAAATAATGTGAATAAAATTTAAAGATAAAAATAAAAAAAAAAAAAAAAAGACAATTTTTGTATTAATATATTTTTTTTTTTTTCTAATTTTTGTAAATTATTTTATTATTTAAGGTTCATTGGATAGCTAGTATTAACAGAGCTTGTAGGGAATGGAAATTTACATATGCACATTTTACAAATAGTTTATTAAATAATAATATTTTATTAAATAGAAAAAGTTTATATAATTTATGTTACACCGAACCAATAAGTTTCAAAAGTTTAGTAGATGAATCCAAATACATTTTTTTTCAAAGAAAACTTAAATTTAGAGATATATCTCAACTTTAATACACATTTCTTTTTTCCTGTTTGTTATTTTTTACTTAATTTTTTCAATTTTTTTTTTTTTTTTTTTCGTTTGTAAACTTATAAAAAAAAGTTTAAAAGAGTTAAAAAAAAATACTTTTAATATTATAAAATAACTGCAAACTATTATTATTATACACTTGAAAAAAAAAAAAAAATTTAGAATATATAAGAAAAACCATTAACATTATTATAAAAAAGTTACAAAAAAAAAGAATTTTTGATTTTTTAATGTAAAAATAAAAAGGGTTAAAAAATTAGGATATTATTATTTAAGTTAAAAGATATATATTTAATTTTACTTTTTTAAAAATCATTAAAAAAATCTAAAGCAAAATTAATATTATCATATACATAATCAACATACATTTTAATTTGATCGTTGTTATACTGTAAATTATTTACATAATTTTTATTTTGATCACAAAAAAATGAAGAAAAAATTTTTGTAAGAGAATAATGAAATTCATTTTGAAGTGTGGAGGAGCATAAGTTATTTATTTGAAAATTATAATGTTTAGGTGTATTAAAAAAAAAATAAAAACTATATGGTTCTTGTATTGAATTTTCCCAGTTTTGTATTTTATTTTTTTCTATATTTTCTTTTTTATATATTTTTTCTTTTGAATCATAATTAAATATATTATTTTGTTTCTTATTTTCATTGTTAAGATTATTTTTTTCCCAGTTTTTTTCTACTGATACGTCTAATATACTATCTTCTTTACCTTCAGCTAAATTAGAGATAGACATTTTTCTCTTTCTTTTATTTTTTATTAAATGTAAGTAATCTATTAAAAATAGATTGTAATTAAAAAAAGTTTTATGAAAATAATAAAATTCTTTTATATATATACATAAATAAAATTTATGTAATATATGAATATTAATCATTAAAGGATGAAGAAAAATAGTGTAATTTATTAATTTTATTAATTCTCCCAAATGCTTTAATTCATGTTTTATTTTTTTATATAGATTTTTAAATTGAATAGATAAATTATCTTTATCCTTATTATGTTGAAGTGTAATATATTTATTAACGTCATTATTATTGAGAATTTTAATAATTTCAGTAACTATAATTAATAATTCAACATATGTGTAAAAATATTTTTTATAATTTCTTTTATTTGTATCACTTTTTTCCACATTTAACTCTTTCATATTTAATTTGTTGCTCATATTTTCTTCATTATTCAAATTTTTAAAATTTTCAAATATTTCATTAAGAATATAAATTAATACAAAATAAATATTTATATCACTAGATATATATAATATACATTTTTTGAAAGAATTTTTATTTTTCAATAATAGTAAATACATATGTAAAATAGAAAATTTTATTAACACTAAAACTTCTTTATTTTTTTTCATTTTATTATTTGATAAAAATATTAAATTAAACCACAAATTGTCTTTTTTATCAAAATTAAATAATAAATTTATTAATCTTTCATCAAAAAAGGAATTTATAAAACAAGAATTAAAGAAAACTGTAATATAATAGCTTATTAAAATGTCGTCGTTTTTTTTTAGGTATTTAATTAATACATTTGCTAATTTCAAAATCTCGTTTTTATTATCTATAAAAATAATAGTATAACTTAATAATTGTAAAATTAAAATAATCAAATTATTTTTATTTTCTATTTCTATTTTGGTTTTATTTATGTTATTATCTAAATTATTAATAACGTAATTAATTAAATAAAGAAAAAATTTGCTTTTATTGAATTCATTACTTAGTTTTTTAATACATATAAAATAAGTAACTTCTTCTTCCTTATTATTTTTTTTATTTTTTAAATAATTAGTAATATGGTTTCTTATATTTAATTTATCGTTTGTTTGCTTATTTTCTTCCTCTATTAAACACAAGGTATTTTCATAAAAAGAAAAATCAAAAAAATATGAATTAATAATAATTAAATAGAAGTTTAAAATAATTATGCAAATGTATATTCCTTTTTCACTCAATAATAAATCTTTAAAATAATTATTAATTATTTCTATGCATTTGAAAGTATTACAACAAAATTTATATAAAGCTGAAATGTCATATATTATAAAACAACATAAAAAGTTAAAAAAATAATTTATATAAATATATGAAAAGTATCCAATTTCCTTATCAAAATGAACTATATTTTTTTCATTTAAATATTTCATTTCAGCTTTGAAGTGATTATTTAAATAAAAGTTAAATGAATTGTAAATACATTCAACAATATTTTTATTTGTAAAATGTGAAAATTTTTGTAAAAGATATATTATATATTTATATTTAAAAATTAAAGAAGAAATATTATTATATATTTGTATTATTCTAAAACAATTGGTTGTATATAAAGATAGCAACTTCTTATTCCTTTTTATTCTTTCTTTTATTGTTGTTATTATATATATGCCATTTTTTGTTAGATCACTATATTCATTATTTGATTCATTAAATTCATTTTTATTTTTCAAAACATCATTTTTTAAGATATTATATTTTTTTTTTTCTTCATTCATATTCTTTATTATTTCTTCCCTTTTTGTTTTTAATTTTTTTAATTCCTCTTTTTTTATACTTTCATTTATATTTTGTTCTTTTGCTTCTAGTTTCTTTATTTCGTCTTTTACTTCTTCCCTTTTTAATTCTAAATTTTTTCTTTCTTCTCTTTTTGTATTTTCTTCTTCATTATTAATTCTCTCCAAATGTTTTTTTTCTTTTAATATTTCTTCTCTTTTTTTCGTGTTTTCATTCATTTTCTTTGATAAATTATTAGTTGTTCGTAAGTTCTTCAAGTTTCTTATAGGACCTAAACTATTTTTTTTTGTTTTGCTTTTTTCAATTAGTTCATTTTTTTTATTTTTCATAAATGTCTGTTTTAAAGAACAATCTTTCTCTAAAAAATTTTTTATGTTTTTATTTAATCCATATTTTAAAGGTTTATTATTTATTTTTTTTTTTAAATTAATGGTTTTTATAATTTCACAGTATTTTTCATAAACATTTAAAAAACCTACATTAAAAAAGCTAGAAAAATGTTCTACAATGTGTCTAGCTATTTGCATTAAAATATTTTCTTTTATTTCATAGTTGTAAGAGTAATAATCATAAAAAAATAGAAGGAAAAATAAAATAATGTTCGTAGTTATTTTATTTATAAATATTTTATTATTCTTCCTAAATTCTAAATGAATATTTTCTAATTTAAAATTTAGTTTTACTTCATCTTCGTAATCATAGAAAACAGAATAACTATTATTTATTTTTTTTTCTTTTGTTAAGTTATATTTATTGTCATTTATTATGTACAAAATAAATAAATATATATTATTATTACGAAAAATATTATTAATTATTATATTTTTAATATTTTCATCTGTATAATTTTCTAAATTTTTATTCCATTCCTTTTTTTTTTTATTTATAAGACTTTCGTAAAAAACATTAATTGATAAATTTTCCATTTTTATGGTATTATTTTCATAAAAAATATTCAAATTCGTGTCACTTATATATATTATGTTTTGAAAAAAAGAGGGAAGTGTTAGTACATTTTTAATCTGCTTAAAAAATATATTATAAAGATCATTTAAATATATATAAATATATGACACAAATATATACAATAAATTCTGAATCATCATTTCATTTTTTTTTTTCTTTTTATTTACTTCTTCTTTATTATTTAATACAAATTTTAAGTATTCCTGAATCATTTCATTAAATTCCTCATAAAATAATTCATTATTTGAAAGAAGTATAGATAGAATATTTTTATCCTTAAAACACATACTTACAATTAATATATAATAATAAATTTTATCATAAATAAAATCTAAATAATTTTTTGCTTTTTTTTCTGCCAAAAAATAATTAATGAAATGATTTATATAAAAGCAATTTTCATCCATCATATTCTTAGTAAAAAATATTGTATAATTAGAGTAAAAATTACTATTACGATTTCTTTTTTTTGAATGATTTTTTTTATCATCTACATTATCATAGTTGTATTTAATATTGTTTATACTTGTGTCTTCACTTTCTTCAATTTCTGTTTTCTTTATTTTAGTATTAATACTGCTACTATTATCACTGTTCTTTTTTTCATTATTTTTTTCATTTTCTTCTTTTGTATATAATTTACTTTTTGAATTGTTTTGAATATACGTTTCTGACTTTTTTTTATAAAAAAAAATTTCGTATTTTTGTAGATTATTCATAGTTTCTTTTCCATCACAAAAAAGTAACTTTATAAATATTTTTATAAAATATTTTTCAAATAATTTTGCTTCTTCTAAAATAGAAAAATTAATATATATATTTTTTTTACCTAAAAAATGTAAAATATATTCACATAATACAATAATGTTATCTTTTTTTTTATTTTCATAGTTAACTTCTTTAGATAAATGTCTGTTATTTTCTAGGTGAAAAAAAAAAGGGAATTTATCTAAAAAAAAACTTAGAAAAAATATAATTGATAAAAACAAAATTTTTTGCTCTTCGCAATTACAACAATAAAAATCCATCATACATATATAATTTGAATTTAGCACATTGTCTTTCTTTTTATAAGAATTTTCATATTCTTCATCATCTGTAATTTCTTCACAATTTTTATATTTATCTACTGTGTAATCATAAAATAATTTGCAATAATTTTTATTAATCTCATCCTCTTTTAATAAATAGTTATACTTATTCATTTCGTTTTTTTTTTCTTTATTTTTATAATCCTCTTTTTCAGTTTCCCAATTTTTTCTGTTCATCTGATATTCATAATTATCTTTTACAAATTTTATATTTTGCATATATATGGTATATTTTAAAATAATTAAATATATTTTTTTTAAAAATTTGCATATATGTTTATCTGCCTTATAGTATTTTAAAAAATAAACTAAAATTTTTTGTTTTGAACTACAGTTATTTTTTAAATATTCTTTAGAAATTTCTGCTTTTAATATTTGTAGTATGTATTTAAAAAAAAATAATAACAATTGTATATATAAGCATTCAATAACAATGTCATTATAAATGTTACAGAAATTTATCAATATATTCATATATCTATTTAAAAATATATGTTTGAATTTATTTAAATCTTTTATATTTTCGTCTAAAATACTCTTATCATTTTCTAATTCTTGAATCATAGTACTATTATTAAGTTGTTCATGGTTGCTTATTATTACTTTATCTTCAAAATTTTTATTCACATTATATGTATGTTCATCTTCTAATTTTTTATCAATGAAACGTTTGTAATCATATTTTTTTAGTGTATCTAAATTTATATGTAGCAAATCATCGTTTTTTAAATAAATATCAATAAAGCATCCCTTTCTCATAATTACATGCAGCATAGACATAATGTTTTTTAAAAAAAATAAATCTAATTTAAGATAATCTTTTTCATGATGTTGAAAATTAACATTTTCTACATCTAAATTTTTTTCAATTTCATATATGTTTATTATATTAGAATAAAAATTGGTACTTTTACTATTTTTATGACTTTTTTTTATTATTTTTTTTGTAAATTTTGAAATAATGAAGAATAAAAAATTAACTAAATTTGATAAGTTCTTATTCTTTTCAATAATTATTTTATTTTTATGTTCTTCATCTTTTAATAAAATAGAATTTTTTTTTTCCTTATTTTCACATATATCAGAATTTATATTTTCATTACTATTATAACAGTTATACTTCATTTTAAGACTGTAATTTTCTAATTTTGCGAAATTATACAACAAATTCAAAGAAAAAATAGAAATTTTATTTTTTAATGTAGATGTGGCTACTGAAATATATAATAATTTATAAATAAAAATAAATAAATCTATATCTTTATTTAAATTGTTAATTTTTGATTTTTCCTTATCTTTTTTCTGAAATATTAAATCAATATATAAACATATATCTAGTACATTTAGAAATTGATCAAGTAATAATATATATTTATGTATAAAAATATTTTTATTTACATGGTTTTCCTTGTTAATAAGTATTAAATGGTTATAAATGAAAAATAGTAACTTGTTTACATAAGGAAATATGTTATTATATACAAAATTTATGATATTAATAATTTCATTACAATCATTTTCAAATAAATAATAAATATTTTTTATATGATCTTTATTGAAATTTATTAATTTATTTATATTGTTATCCATACCTTCAGAATTTTTTGAATGGATTTCCTTATTTTTTTCAAATTTATTTTCTACATATAATAATTCCATATAATAATTATATAAGATGAAAAATAATTTATTTAAATCATATAAATAATTAAAATTGACTTCTTCTATCCCATCATTGAGAATTGGTAGTAATTTTAATTTTGATAATAAATTACGTATGTAAGTATTATATTCTGATATATATATTTTCTCCATTTTAAGATTTAAAAAAAGAAAAGAATTCATATTAGTAATTTTTTTGAAAATAGGAATCTCTGTGTTTTCATTAAATATGTTTTTTCTTTTTAAAATGGGAATAGTATTTTGATGGTAATTATTATTTATTTGGATATTTTTTATATTTTTTATATTTTTAATTAAATAATAATATTTATTAATAAACAAGAAAAAAGACAAAAACATATTATTATTATTATAATTACCATAAAAGCATAACTCCTTTTCTTTGCTATTTATATTAGAATCATGAAATATGTGTAAATATGAAAATTTTGTAGAAAAAAAAAAGAAAGATTTTAATTTTTTAATCATAAACAAAAAATTATTTGATTGTAACTTTTTATAAAGCCAAAAAGGAATAAAATAAACTATTTTATTTTCTATATTAAAAGTATTTTCATATGTATTCTCAAAATTACATAAATCATTTTCTATATATTTATTTTTTCTGTTCAAATTAAAAAAGCTCATTTTATATTTTTTTAGTAAAACTGAATTTTTTAAAACATCAACACAAGTATTAATACTTTCTTTATTATTTACATATTCATCAATGTGTTCTTTTTTTATTTCATCAATTAAAAAATTTTTCAGATTGATTGATACATTATTAAACCATGTATTATTTTTTTTTTCATCTAATGACGAATAAAAATCTTTTTTGTCTTTTTTTTTTTCCAAGATAAGATAAGGTTCTAAAAATATTCTATGTTTCTCTAATAATAAAACTTTCTGGTCAAAAATTAAATAAAAACTTAAACTAATACACAATGCTTTTATAACTTCATTATTAATGAAAAAAAAACAATATAAATGAGACAAAAAAAAATACTTTTCCTTATAGATTCTTTTACATATATTGCTATTTCTATAATTAGTGATTAGAAGTAAAATTATTATTTTTAATACATATATAAATATTTCAATGTTGTATGATTTTGTTTCCTCTTTTATTAAAATTTCTTTTAGTAATTTTAAATACAGATTAAATACTTTTTCATAAATGCAAAGGAACACTTCATTATTTTGTTCTTCTTGCATATTTTTACTGATAAAACAGGAATTTTTTTTTAATATAAATACTATTATATGATTAAAAATTTCTAAACAGCATTCTTTATTAATATCAATATTAGACAATGTTTCAATGATTACTGTTTCTTCTCTTATGCACTGTTTAGTTAAAAAATCACTAACATAAATATTTAGAATATTTACATTAGTATTCCAGTCGTTAGTATACTTAAATATATTATGATAGTTACTGTCTAAATTATTTCTGTCTTTTCTATTTATTTCATTTTTATAAAATTCTTCATATAAATTATTTTTATAATGGTTCTCATTTTTTAAAAAATTTCTATTCTCATCATTAGTAATCTTTATATCATTATTAGAATTTAAATTTTTTTTATCTGATTCATCTATTTTTACTTTACTAAACATTATTTTGAATTGATGATACCATTTCCAGAAAATTTTAAGTGAGAAATTTCTTCTTTTCTTTTTTTTTTGAAATATGTAAAAATATATGTTATGTATATTTAAAAAAACATTTTGATATAAATATATTTTATCATTTACTATTTCTTCTATTGATTTCTTTTTCTTATTTAAAATAAAATATCCACAAAAGTAATTTTCATATAAGAAATGAAAAGAATTATATACAGATTGCTCATATACTATGATATATTTTTTTTTAATATAATTTAATAAAAGCAAAATTTTTGTATAAATTTTAATTTTTGATAAAATAAATCCTTTTTCCTTGATATCCTTTCCTTTTAATGTATCAAATAAACGTAATATATTATTTTTAATATTTTCCAATATAAAAAAAATATAATAATTTTTTATTTCTTTTTTGCTATATATGCATATTTCATATATTATATCTATAAATTCATTTATTTGGATAGAAGATAAAAAAATGTCTGTTGAATAATTTTGTTTTTCTAAGTTATCATGGTTATTAATATTATTAAATACAGAATTTGAACTGTTTTCAATTTGATTAATATTTTCGGTAAAGCATTGCTCTTTTTTATATTTATCAAAAAATAATTTTTTTTTATTGATACTTTCGTAATAATCAGTTTTATATATTTTGTTATTAAAAATATTTTGATTCATTTTATGTTCTTCGTTTTTTTTAAAACTCTTTTGATTAAGCATTTTGCTACAAAAATAAGTATCCTCATAAGTGTTATAATTTTCAGATTGATTATTATCAAAATTATTTTCATTAATGTTATTATTATTATCTTCTTTGTTACTTTTATTTACATTTTCCTTTATATTTTCACTATATATATTGTTACAATAAGTATCATTGTAATTAATAACGTCGATATCTTCATTTAAATTAATATCTTTATGAATGTTTTTCTCAAAGTATTCATTATATTTGATATGGTTTATTTTTTCAGTATTTTCCAATTCATAATTATATGTATTGAAATCACTTAAGGTATCTAAATCATTATCATTTAATTTTTTGTCTTTTTTAAAAAAATTAGGTTTTTCATGGTTAATATTAAAGATAAAGTTAAAAAAAAAAAAAACAATTGTTGTATTATAATTATATATTAATGAAATGATATTATGTAAAAGAAGAAGAAAATTTTTGAATAATTTCACAAATTTAATGCTTTCCTGAGTATTTTTTTTATTTTCAGGAAGATTATCAAAAGTTAATACAAAAATTTTATTGTAATCTTTTAATTTATCAACAATATATTGATACATTGATACACTTTTTTCATCTGTATTCACATAATTAGATACATTATTATATTCAGATGATAGCAAAATAAAGCTATTAAACATCATTTTTAAATTATTTTCAATTAATATATTTGTTATATTTTCGACAAATTTTGAGCAAAAATTGTTATTGTTCTCATAATTATCATTTTTATTATGTTTCTCATATCCATTAATATTCTCATTTTTATTAATATATCCCACTTTTTCTATTAAAATAGAAAATAAATTTTTTATATAATTTTCTTCAGAATCTTTAATATCATATTCATTATTTTCTGTAAATGATTTGCTTAATGAATCAAATGTTTCAAATATTGTATTATTGGTATTATTTGAATTAAAAAAAATATCATCATATTTGGTGTTATCTTTTTTTATATATTTGTAGTAATAGTTGTCTAAAAAATTATCAAGTGTGTAATAATTAATTGGGAGGAAAAAAAAAAAATGAAATATATTATTATTAATACCCATAAAAGTAGATATATCTAATTGATTTGTATTATCAGAGAAAAATAAATTTACGAATGAATAATAATAGAGTAAAAATTCATTGTAATCTTTATAAATTTCATAATCATAAAAAAAAAAGAAAACTTCAAAAAAATGTAAAATTTCGCAGTTGTGGGTATTTAAATTAATATCAAATAGGAACATTTTAAAAATATCAATTAAATCTTTTTTTATCTTTTTCATTAAAATAAAAGATATAGGTGTGTAATTAATATATAGACATATAATTTTTAGTATTTCGATTTGCTTTAAAGTATATTTATAAGTGTATTTATATATATTGTTTGAAAAAATTTCAATACTATCAAGTTTGTTATTTGTTAAATCATCAGTAGGACTTGATGTGGAAGAAAAATTATTTAGCTCATTTATTAACATATCTTCTGAAGCACTTGAATTCATTTTCTTTTTTTTTTTATTATTACATTGATAAAAATTACTTACCTTAATAAAATCAACTAAAATTTCTAAATGTTCATTAATTTGTTTACTCTCTTCATTAAAATAATGAATTAACAAATTATATATAAAATCATATATAATTACAAAGTTGTCTAATTGGAAATTCAAAGTTACACAATTCTGGCTTATTTTACTAATTTTACAATAAGTATTTTTTAATATTTCAAAAATATGCAAAATAATGAATTTAAAAAAATATATGCAATTATTCTCTGTTATTAATAAATAATGATATATATCATTTTCCTTTATTTCTAAAGTTTCCTTATTTTCTATATTTTGCAATTTTTTCATATGAGTATTATAGTAATACAAATTTATATTATTAATTAATTGAGTTATTTTTTTATTATTATTATCTAAAAAATATTTTTTTTCTTCATTATTATTTAGATAGATATTATCATTTTCTTTATTTACGCAAATTAGAAGTAAATAAAAAAGATTTTGACTAATTAAAAAAAAAAAATTATTTATATAAATATTACATATGTGATTACACAAACATTCTTTATCTAGATTTATATATAAACTATATACTACTATATATATTATATATGATAAATTATTTACAATATTATTTACATGATTAAAATCATTTGTTAATTGGTTATTTTCAACATAACTTTTATAAATATAATGAATATTGTAACTTAATGTATATAAAAATTTATAATTAAATAATAATATGTCTTTATTAAAAATATATATATATTCGTTTAATATTTTATTTATTTCTTTATTCATGTATATCAAATCATCTACACTTATTTTTTTTTTTATTATGTTAATTCCTAATATTTCAAAATAATTGAATTTCATTTTTATACTGAAGATTAAAATTTTCATTTTATTAATATAATTTATTATTTTATAGGCAAAATTTTGATTAAATAAATAATTATTTTTTAAATATATTGAATAATAATCCATATAATTTTTTTTTTTATCTTTGATATTTTTTTTTTTTTTGTCTTCCTGATTTTGGGTATCATTTTTTATATTTTGATTATCCTTCTCTTTGATGGTTTTTTTTTCAAATAACTCTTCTTTGCTTTTTATATCATTTATACTTAAAAAATTTTTTTTAAATATATCAAAACAATCAAAAAAGTTAAATAAATAAAAAAAAGTATAGTTATTTAAAATACATTTATAGTTAATGTTGTTATTATCGTTACAGGCAGATATAGGTGTTACATAATTGTTATATGCATTATATTCTTTTTTTTTATTAACTTTATTTTTCTTATATTTTAATAATAAATATTTAGATTTTTCGTTTATTTTACTTTTAATACAATACAAGGTGTTGTAATATTCAAATTCACTACTTTTTACACAATTATTTTTTGTAAAAATATTTATACAATTATTTTTTTTAATTATCTGATTTAAATTTATTCGATCTTTTTCTAAAATAATATGATCACTATTATTAGATAAAGCTGTTTTATTACACAAACTATTTTCATTCTTACAAAGAGAGTTATTATCACTATTTAATGTTTTTTTTTTCTTTTCTAAATATTCTGGGTTTTCATTTTTCATATATTCTTTATTTTTTAAATTAAGATCACTTTTACAAATGTTTAAAATGCTTTGTTTTATATTATTGGTGTTTCTTGTTTCAATATGTTCACTATTTAAATCATTTTCACATAATTGGTCACTAATATTAGTAAAATTACTCTCTTTAAAATATTCCTTTTTTTTTACGTTAGTTCCATCATGTTTAATTGAATAATTTTCATTTAAATGATTCGTATTATTATTTAAATCTTCATTACTATCTTTATTTTTTTCGTAACAAAATTTTTCTTTTTGAATGGGTGAATTTTTATTAGAATTAGATTTTAAAAATTCTTCCTTTTTCCCATAATATAGATTAATTAATTCATAAAGAATTGTAATTATTTTGTTGTATTCTTTATCACTATCTTCTATTAAAGATTTTTCATAATTTTTTATATATATATTATCATTCTGAAAATCATTTTTTACATCTGGATTTATATTATGATTATTTGATTTGTATTTTTCTTCATTATTTTTAAAATGGGTTAAAAATTCGTTCATATATTTGATTATATCTATTTCTTCAAATTTTTTTTTTATTTCTTCATCTTTCTACATTTTAATAAATATAAATGCACACTCATATTAAATAATCGAGAAAATATATAGTATTATGTATCAAAAAAAAAAAAAAAAAAAAGGAAAAAAGGAAACCTTAAGTACTCTTATATTCATATATTATGTAGAGTATAAACATTTTTTTAAATTATTAGTAAAAATCATAAAGTATTGAAGAAATAAAACGAATTTCATTTTTATGAAAACAAAGATAAATATTAAATACGAAAATTTCACAATAATTATAATATTTATAATATTTATATTTTTTATCATTATTGTTTTTTTTATTACTTTTATAATAGAATGGATAAATGAAAAAATATTCATTAAGCTTTTTAGAGAAATATATGAATTTCTATCATTAATATAATGAAGTATTATATAAAAAAAGTAATCCCTTTTTTTAATATCTGTTTCATCTATTAAATTTTTTTCATATTTTTGTATTAACATGATTATTGATCTATCTCTTATATCATCTATGTGATGACCTAAAATGAAAATAATAATTATATATTGTCCTTTTATTATTAAAGATTTTTATTTTTTATAATTTTTATTCATTTTTTTTTCCTTTTTTTATATATATATTTTTTTATTATTTCTATGATAAACTTTTTTTTTTTTTTTTTTTTTTGTGATATTAATATTTTTTAAAAAGCTAAGAAATTACATATTAACTACCTATTTTTTGTATAAGGTTGTTTAAGTTATTATCATTCATTTTTTTATTTTAGACATTATAAATAAAAAATGTAAGTACCTATATAATGAAATAATAATTAAAAAAAAATGAATATAGATAATATTTAATGAGTTTATACACTAATAATTTTAATTGATAATAGAAGAAAAACAAAAGAAGAATGATTAATATATATATTAATAATAACATATGAACAATCTTATTATATTTAAATACTTGATATTACTTTTTCATTATATTAAAAGTGTATATTTTTTTAGATTAAAAAATAGAAAAAATTTTAAGAAAATACTAATAACATCAAGGATATAAATTTTAAACTTATAGATATTGTTACCAATGGATTTTTTTAAAATCTAAAATGTAATATTCTTAAATATTTTATCATTTTATAAAGATTTTTTTTTCTTTTCTTTAAATATTTTAGCGGCTTTTTTACTAAGAAATTTAATAATAGATAATAATAATAAAAAGGAGATAATAAATTAATAGATAAAATAAAAGAAAAATTTACAGAATTAAAAGTTAAGATTATGTTGAAATAAAGAATTGAATATGTTGAAAATTTTTTTTCTTTTTTTTTTCATGATTAGCAAAAAAAAAAAAAAAAAAAAAAAAAAAAAATTTTACACATTTATAATATAATCAAATAAAAATAGATTATTAGTATATTATTTTTATTATGAAAGCTATGTAAAGGAAAAATTTATATTGATTTTATTATATATGTGAAAATAAAATAAAAATATAAAAGCATATTATCTCTTTTAATTGAGAAGAAAAATTATACTTTGTCTAAAAATATGTATATATATATATATATATATATATATATATATATATATATATAATATTTATTCATTATTTTTTTCATAATAGTTGAGATAATAATGAAAATTATATCTATAAAATTTTTAGAAATTTTCAGAAATTTCTTATGTAAAACTTTCTACAATGTAACTTTTTTTCAGAATTTATAGTGAAGTTTTTTTATTTTTCATTTTAATAAAAATTTTCTTATTTATAAATTCAAAACATTTTTATTATATAATCTTATTATTAAAAATATTAAAAAAATATTATTTTTAACATAAAAAAAAAAAAAAAAAATAACATAATATAAATTATATATATATATATATATTACTAAATCACGTATATTACAAATTTTGTTAAATGTTGTAGGGTAAATCATTAAAAGAGTGGTATATTAAATTATACAAAATTAATCACATTTTTATAAAATTTAAAAAAAAAAAAATTCTGGAAAATTAAATCGTTGTTACAATATTATTTTACTTATTTATAAAATATTTTTCCTATTCTTTTAGTAACTATAAATTACTGATATATATATATACGTATTTATGGAGTTTTTTAAAAACATGTTATTTTTGTTTATAAAATTTTTTTTTATATTAAATTTAATAAAGCATTTTATCTTTTAATCAGAAATATATGTTTGTTTTATGTAGTTTAGATAATAAAATAAATAAAAAGAAAAATATAATATGAATGAAATATTTTTTTCAGGTTTCCATTTTTATTAAAAAGATAAATTCAATTAAACCAAAATTATCATTGTTTTTTCAAATAGAAATTATCCTTTTATTTTTCATTTTTTCTAAAACAAAAATATGTTTTAAGTGATAATCAAATATATTAAGAATATTTATTAAAATAAAATTTATAATTATCATTATTCTATATTAAGATATATTAAGAATATTTACTAAAATAAAATTTATAATTATCATTATTCTATATTAAGATATCTCTATTTCTTTTTTAATGAAGACACAAACTCTTGATAGAATATATTATCATAACTAGAAATATATATATTCTCTTTTATAAAGATTTTATATTTTTTAATTTATATAATTTTATTTATTTTTTTTCTGCTAAAAACCAATGATATAAAAATATATTTTTAAATAATCTATAAAATTTTAAATATCCAGTTTTTGAAGAAAAAATTTATTGAAAAGATTTTTTTTATTTTTATTTTTTTTTTTTTTTGACGTAATAAATATATGTTACAACATTAGATAATATGAAATTCAAAATTTTTAAGAATGATATATAAAAATATATCACTAAAAAACATAAATTTTATTTTTAAAAAACAAAGATAGTATAAATAAATACTTAAAAAATGAAAGGTTTTTTTTTTTTTTCTTTTTTATTTTTATAATTTATTACGTTTATATATATATATATATAATTAAAATGTAATATTTAACTTTTATATATTTATAAATTTGGATTTTTAAAAAAAGTATTATTCTTTTTTTTTATTTATATTTTTCTTTCTAATATTTCTTTTAAATAAATTTTATGTTTTTAAAAAATGCATAAAGCTTTATATGTTAGAATTTAGATTTGAATATATAATAAAAAATAGTAGATTATAGTTAAGTATAACAGATGATCTAAAAGAATGATATATGATAATATAAATGTAATTCAAAATAATCCTTTGATAATAATAGATAAATTTCCATATACCAAAAAAAAGGAAATTAATATAGGTAAAATAAAAATGATATACAGGCCATCTAATATAATATTATAAAAAAAATATTTAAAATGATTTAATTAACCTTTTTTTTTTTTTTTTTTTATGTATATGATTATTAATCACATTAATTTAATTAATAAATTATAATGGATTTATAAATATTAAAAGAAGATAATTATATTTCAAAAATATTAAAATAATAATACAAATAACATGTGTATTTTAAATATATATGGAATGAAATATACTAAAAATTAAAAAAAAAAAAAATAAAAAAAAAAAGGAATAAATAATATTTTTTATGTTTAATACATGTATATTATTCACTCAGTAATTTTTCCTTTTTCTTTTTTTTTTTTTTTTTATTTTAGACAAAAATGTTGAAAAAAAAAAAATTACTAAAATATATTTTTTAACTCATTTTCATGCTGATCATTATATGAATATAAATAGACACTTTAATGAAAATGTTTTTACTTCAACTATAACAAAAAGTCTATTAGTGAATATAATTGGAATTAATGAAAAATATGTTCATAATTTAAAAATTAATACAAATTATTATCTCTTCAACTTTGAAGTCATTTTTATTGATGCAAACCATTGTCCTGGTTCTGTTATTATTTGTTTTCAATTTTTAAATGGAACAAAAATAATTCACACTGGTGATTTTCGCTATTCGAATATACATAGTTTTTTGATAAAAAAATTATTAAATTTTACAAATGTAAAAGAAGAAAAAGACAAGGAAAATGTATTAAAAGAACTTGAAACATTAGAAATGAAAAATAACATTTTGTTGAAAAAAAAAGAAAGCAAAAAGTATATAGTTTTCAATAATAACATATATAATATTTGCTACATTAAAGAAAATTTTACAATTTATAAAAGTAATAAATATATTGTAAGCATTGAAGAATTTAGAATAGTTTATTTAAAAATTATTGAAGAATTATTATTAAACATGAAAAATATAAAAAATCAATTTTTTTTATATGACTCTATAGAATTTGAAAATTTTTTTAGCTATTTCATTTTTATAGAATTGTTATTATATTTTAATCAAAATGAACAAGAAATTTCAATATTATATGAAGATAAAAAACTGAATGAAAGTGATATAATTTTAAATAATGAGAATATAAAAAATATCCGTTTTAATTTAAATTTTCTTAAAAAGGAAGAAATAAAAACAAATTGTAGTTTTATCGATAAAACAGAATTACTGAATTGTAAAAATTATGAACTTTATGATATGAATTCAAAAAAAATATTTGAATCAAAAAATATAAATAAAGAAAATATTAAAATAGAAAATAAAGAAGATACGTATGAAGAATATGCAAGTTTTAACGAATCTTGTTGTCACATGAAAAGTAGAGAAAGATCAAAAATCAAAAATATCCTTAAAAAGAAAAATAATGATCTTATAAAAAGTAATAGAAATATTTATCTAAATGAATTAAAAGAAAATTCAAATTATATTAAGACAATTTATCTTGATACAACATATGCACTCACTAAAAATAATTTATTTCCACCTCAAATGTACTTGGTAAATTACATCATTTATTTATGCAAAAAAAAAATAAATAATGATTCATATAATGAATATGATTTAAATAAAATAAATTATTTATCAGATAAAAAAAAAAGAAACGAAAAAACAAATGAAGAAATAGAGGAACAAAAAAAAGAAAATAATAAAAAAGAGATATATGTGAAGAAAGAAAAAAAAGAAGAAAATAGAAATGAAAAAAAAGAAAATAATAAAAAAGAGATACATGTAATGAAAGAAAAAAAAGAAGAAAATAGGGAAAAAGTATATGAAGGAAAGGAGAATATAATTTTAAAAAATAAAAGAGTATCAAAAAAAACTTTATTTTTGTTTGGAACATATAATTTAGGTAAAGAAAAAATATACTTAAGTGTTTCTGAAGCTTGTAATATGAAAATATATTTTAAAAATAAAAAAAAAAAAATAATAATTGAATCATTTTTAAATAATAAGAATATTTTAGATAGAATAACAGATGATAAATTAGAAGCTCAGATTCATATCGTTGATATTAATTACTCTTGTATATTTCCTAAAATAGATAAAAATAAACTTAAAAATTTGATAGATGAAGAAATAGAGAAAGAATTTGATTTTTTTTATTATATTATTCCTACGGGATGGGTTAAAAAATATTCCTTTTATGAAAAAAAAAATATTTCTATTTTTTTAATACCATATAGTGAACACTCAAATTTATTAGAATTAATTAGTTTTGTAAAATCTATTAAGCCTTGTAATATAATTCCAACTGTTTTTTCAAATCCCAAAGAAAAATTGAAAATTTTAAATACATTTAATTCTTATCTAAATTTAAAAGAAGAAGTAAGAAATTTCTTAAAAATAAAAAATAGCAATCAAATAAAAAATAAAAGAATATCAAAACAAAATATTAAAGAACAAAAGGAAAAGAAAAAAAATTTTAAATATAAAACCAAAGCAGAAAAAATTTTCTGTGATAAAAATCAAAAAAAAATAACATCCTTTTTTTCTTTCTTAAAAAAGGAAGAATAATTAATATATATATATATATATATATATATATATATATGTATAAATAATTTTAAATTATATTTTCTAATTAGGTATCTATTTTTAATTATTAATAATATTATTGTCTATTAACATATATATAGTTTTTTTTTTTTTATTACAAAGCATATTATATAAACATTATTTTATTTTTAGTTTATAAATGTTTCTGGTAATATATTTTAAAAGTATTATTTTGTAGTTTTACATATTCGTTAAAATAATTTTTAATTTTTTTTTTTTTTTTTTTTTTTTTTTTTTGTGCATATATTTTCCTTTATTATAAATTATTAATAAATGATATGAAAAAGAATAAGAAGTAAATTATTATTAATCATATAAAATAATAATTTACTTCTTATTAAAAAGTTATAAACATTATATATTTTTATAAAAAAAAATATACTTTTTTTTTTTTTTATTAATATAAAAAAATAAAAAATAAAAAAACTATAAATTTTTGAAATTAGAAAAAAAATAAGACATAACAAATAAAACATGGAAAGAAAAATAAAGTCCAAAAAAAAAGTTTCAAGTTCACAAAAAAATAAAATAATAAATGTAGATGACAGATTAAATAATCAATTTATAAAAACATCAGAACCAAAAATAAGCAAAGAAACTTTGTATTTTGATAAAAATATGAATAACAGTATTATTAATAAAATTAAATTACCTACAAAAGATTTAGAAAAAGAAATGAAAGAGAAGACAAAAGAAGAAATAAAAAGATACATATGTGTGGAAGAAAATAAAAGTAATATAAAAAATATAGATCATTTAAATAACCCTATAGGTGAAAATATAAAAAAAGAGAAAGAAAATAAAAATATTCTTAATAAAACCAAAAAATATAATTTAATTGACACACAAACAGGCAATATAGAATATAATAGCACAAGTTATGCAGAAGAAAATATAGATGATTTAATTCATAATATTGATGATAAAGATAATTTTTTTTCTTTTTCTAACAATCACAAACTAATAAATATAAAAAGCAGAGAAATATTTAAAAGAAATATGCCTATTACAGATGAAAATTTCAATTGTGAAGATACACATTTTATAGGACAAAATGAGAAAAAATGTAATTTAGAAGAATTTAATAAAAGTTTACAATTTTTAGAAGATATTGAAGAATTTAAAAAGAAAAAGAAAAAAATGGATGACGCTGTTTTAAATATAGGAAAATCAAATGAGAAAAATTCAAAAGAAATTAATGAAAAAAAAAAAGAGAAATTATGTTTGATAGAAGTAAAGAAAAAACATCTAATAAAATTACAATAATAAAATTTCTTATATCTTAATTATATCAATCATATATTCACAAAATGTATTTTTGTCTTTTTTTTTTTTTTTTCCTCATAACATATTGTGTATATAAATGATTTAAATTCAGCTTAGCACAATTCATATTTTTCTTATATAAAATTTGCAATTTTTGAATTATTACTCATTAGGAAAAAGAAACATCTTCATATAAATTAAAAAAAAAAAAGAAAATAGAGAAATAGTAAATCATCTAAGAGAAAAATTTAAATATTATTATAGAAATATATTAATATTATAATAAATTTTAAAATTCTTCATTTTTTCCTTTTTTTATTTTATTCTGTTAAAAAAAAAAAAAAAAAATACAGCAATATCAGTTGTGAAGAAAAAGAAAAATATATGAAAAATTATATGCTCAAATTAGAGGAACAATATAAGCAAAAAAAAGAAGATGATTTACAAAAAGAAATAAGTGAAAATAAAGAAGAATTAAAAAAATTCCAAGATAGACAGAATACTTTTCTTAATTTTTTAAAAAATCCTAGATTAAATTTACCAAAAAATGAAGATTTAAACGATTATTTGTCTGTATATCCTGAAACTATAGTAATTTAAAATTACATTTATGAATAGTTAAAAATTTACAAAAAAAAGAAAAAATATAATCATATAAAAAAGAAAAAAAAAAAAAAAACAAATAAAAATATTAATATTATATATAAATATATTTATAAACTTAAAACTTTTATAAAGCATTTTACAGATATAACGAAAGGTATGAGGTTGACAAAAGATTTATTAATTACAAACAAAAGTAAAATTTTATTACATGTTATAATTATACCACCTTTAACAAAATACTTTTTTGTAAAAGAAATAATTAATATATATAACAAAAGTGAAGAAAATTCTAAAATAAATTTAAATAATCAAATAGCACCTGGACATACATTAAAAGTAATTAAAAATGAATAAAATTTATATAAATAAAATAATTATAATTTTTTTTTTTTTTTTTTTTTATATATATTGACTTATTTCAATTACAAGATTAAAATATGTTATAATGTTTTTACATTGAACCAACAAAATGATCATATAAAATTATTAACTGAAGCTGGAAATAAAATTATAAATGTATAAATAAATATGAATATAAAAAACATTAAACAGTTATAATAATATAAACTTGCAGATCATATTATATGCAAATATCTTAAAAGTAACATAAAAATATTCCTATTTAAATTATTTATGAAAGAAAAAATTTTATATATGAAACCTTATTTTTATAGTTAAAAGTATTTCAATCTATACCAAATATAAAATTCGATAAAGTTTTAAATTTTGGACCCATTAGACCTAATGAAAAAAAAAAAAAATTGTAATATATTTATGTTTATTAAACAAATACATTAAATTAAATTAAAAAAATTATTTTAATATGAAGGAAAATATGTATAAAGAACTTGTAGAATATTTTTTTTTTTTTTTTTTTTTTGTATGTAAGATTTCCGATAAGAAACAATGGAAAGGAAACAAATATATTGATACTTCCTAAAAAGTTATATAATTTGTTTGAAACAAAAAAAAATATTGAAAAGGAAGAAAATATTTTAAATTTGCTTATAAAGAAATCAGAAGAAAAAAATGAAATAATGAAAATAAATGAAAACGAAGATATATATTATATATACAATAATGTAAAAAGTTATTCTTATAATTTTTTGTTTTTGTATAAAAAGTTAGTTAACAATTTTGATGACATATATTTTGAAAACATATTACAAGATTTTTATTATTTTAATTTGAAAAATTCAGAAGAAAAAACAATTAATTTTTTTTTTAAGTAAATATAATAATATATATATATATATATATTATAATTTCCATTCATTAATGTTATCATAAATTATTTTTTTTTATTTTCTTTTTTCCATATAAACACACACACATATATATATTTTACATTATCTATAGAAGCAATAAAATAGGAATATATGAAAAAGATTATTTTATCATAACAGATATTGAATGTAATTTTGATGAATTAGAAGACAAAAAAGAATATGATTTTATTAATTATAATAAATTAAATATTTTTCAATTTTCCGTTAAGACTATTGTGGAACCATTATTACTAAATTTACTTTATATGAATAGAAAAATAGAAAGTATTTTTACATATATATATATATATATATATATATATATATATATATATATATATATATATATTTTAAAAATTTTTTTTTTAAAATATATATACTTTTAATTTTTATTATGTAGAAGATACTTATAAAAAGAATTTATTAGAATACATTCAAAATAATAAAAAAGATAATTTAGATTATTTTTTCTACATTAATTCTTTAAATTCATTTAAATTTTCTGATATTCAAGTAATATTATTTTTTATAAAATATTAAAGAATAAAAATTGTTCTTTTAAAGACATTTTTTCTTTTCTATATTTTTCTTTATATTTTAGATTTGTAGTGGATATAATTGGTTAGAAATAGAAGTTTTAAACAGTGGATTAATAGATTTAGAAATTTCATGCAATATTTATATAAAAGAGAATGAAGGTATTCAATCAAAACCATTTATATTGGATATACAAAATAAAGGAAATTATTATTACGATGAACTTTTTGATGATACTTTAACACATTCTTTATATGAAGAGTCTTCAAAGGATCCTTATATAATAAAAGAAAAAAACAAAAAAGGAAAAAAGAAAAAAAAAAATGGAAAACTATGCCCAATATACATATATCCTAAAAGATTTAATTTATCCTATAAAAAAAGTCAAAAAATATTCATAGTTTTTAAACCACTTGAAAAACATAAAAATTTTAAAAATTATTATTTTATTTTAGCAGTGAAAAATTTAACAAAAGGATCAGATATAAATATGGAAGATTTATTAGAATTACATAAGAACAATCAAGAGAGTGATGGTATTCCATTAGTATGTATTAATGAAAAAAAAATTATAAAAAATAAAAAGCTTCATGAAAGATATTCAGTTAATATTTCTAAATATGAAAATACATCTTCATCATCATCAATTACAAAATGTTCTAGATCAAGTAATTCTGAATTAAGTGAAGAAAACATAATGAAAAAACAAAATATGAAAAAAAGTTATTTTTATAAGAAAAACAAAAAATTAAAATATATAGCACTTTATGTTAATTTATATGCAAATATAATTAAACCAAGCATATATGTAAACGTAAAAAATTTATCTAGATGCTTTTTTCCTAATCCTCTATATTTATATAAGACTAGCTTTACTATAAAAAATCAAAACGACTTTTACATTAATTATTTTTTTGAGAATTTAAATAATTTAAAAGATATTTCTACTAATAAATATATTTTAAAAAATGACATTATAAATAATCTAAACAAAAAAATCGAAAAAAAAGAATTAGAACATAAAAAAGAAAAAGAAGTTTTATGTAAACATGAAAATATAGAGGAAAATAAATATAAAAATAAAGATGAAAAAAAATATAAGGATAAAAATGATAAAGAGAAGATATATGAAGACAAATCTGTTAACAATTCATATGATGATGAAAAAGATTTTATATATTATTATGATTATTTTGATATATTAAATATCTTAAAATTAAGGAAAGAAGAAAAAATAAAAAAAAAAAAAGAAAAGAAAAATGAAAGTAAAACTCGAAATAGCAGTACACTAACAAATAATAAAAGGGGAAATAGTAAAAAAAACGAAACAGTTAAACAAACAAACTCAATAATAAACATAAAAAAAAGGAATTTGAATGAAGAAAAAAATCAAATTGAAGAAAATTTTAATGTTAAAAATGTACCTTATTACAATTTGAATAAAAAATTAATAAAATATTTTTATCAAAGAGGGAATAGTGATAATGTTGGTGTATATGTTTTAATACAGAATTCAATTAATAAGAACTCAAACGAAAATGGTTTAAAAAATGAAAAAACAAAAGACAGTAAAAAAAAAAAAAAAAACATTCTTAAAATAGAAAAAGGAGATTATTGCTTAAAACCACATGAAAAAAAAAAGATTGTTTTATTTTTTTTAGTAAACAAATATGGATATTATGAGATAAATATTAATATGATTTTCTATATGGATAACTATAAAATAAGTAAAAGTATAAAAGCAAATATATTAGCTAGATGCAAAGGATTAAATATAAGTAAAGAAACATTATTTTTTAAAAATAGCTATTCACATTATTGCTTTTGTGATGTTGTAAAAATAAGTAATCTAGACAAGGATTTAAAACTAATAAACTTAGATAGTTCTGATATTACTTATTATGGTTTTATATCTTTATATAATTTTTATCTATTTGCATTTAAAAAAAAAAAAAAAAAAAAAAAAATACAATACACTGACATTTTTCATAATTTTATGAAAAATTTTTACGAAATTATAGAAAAAGATATGGATCATAATTATATTAAAAAAGAAAATAAATTTTATAATTGTAATAAATGTAAATGCTTTTTTAAATATAATAGTTGTCTTGATTATTTAAAGAATTTTTTTACAAATTATAATAATATTACCAATTATTTATTCCATTTTAATAATAAAGAGTACTTAATTCAAATATTAAGTGAAATTAATAATGAAAATAAAGAAAAATTAGATCTGATTAAATTTAATAATAATTTTAAAGATATATATAATTATCATCAAAATGAAAATATTTATTTACATAATAATAAAATAGGACATAATAAATATTTTATAATTTATCCTTCTAATTTATTATTATTTCCATTAAAGGAAACTTTTTTCTTTTTTTTCTTCTTTTTCTCTCATGCTGAAAGTGTAAATATAAGTTTAAGTGTAATAAAATAAGATAAAAAAAAATAAAATAAAATAACTAATAAATTATAAAACATAATATATAATAAAAATTAAAAAAAAATAAAATACAAAATCAATAAAAGTAATTATAGCAGAGAGGATTTGACTAAAAAATGAAGATAATTCTATCAAAATAATAATAAATGCTTGCATATATAATTTATTTTTTCTTTTTTTTTTTTTTATATAGGTTAAATGGTGTAAATTTAATAAAGATATTTTTATAGAAGGAGAAAGTAAAAATTCTAATATAAAAATAACACATAATAAAAATTTAAATGTTAAAAATGTTGACAATAAAAAAGAACAGAAAGAGAGGAATTACATAGGAATTTGTAGTGGCTTATTTTATTTTAACGTAGAGAATTTAAATGATTTAGAAATTTCTTATGAATTTTGTGAAATGGATAATAGTGAATTTGAATATAATTACTTCAAAAAAAAATATATAATGATTTTTAATTGTAATGTAAAGTTAGATTGTTATTATAAAGATTTCTATTCTTTTATAAAAATTAATAACATAAAATATATAAAATCAGAATGTAATTTAAAAAAAAATTCCCTTAATTATCAAAATAGTGAACCTAATTTAAGTGAAGTAAGTAAAGAAGATAATAAAATTCATGGTTGCATAATCATGAATGGTTCTAATTTAAATCATATAGGAGGTAAGGATATTAAAAGGCATGAATATAGATTACTATTATTTTATGACGACAATATAACTAAAGATAAAAATTTCTTAAATTTAAGATTTTCTATAAAGTTGAAACATTTTTATAATAATGAAATAATAAAAGTATCATCGTATTTTTATATTCATACATTTGATTTTCTCCTAATTAATGAAAATAATTTATTATTATCTATTTTTTACTATTTGAAAAAAAAACTTTTAATAGAAGAAAAAAAAAATTCCTTAGAAGAGTATAATAATAAATCAAAAACAGCAGAATATGACAACAAAAAGCAAATGAATTCGTTTGTAGATGAAATGTTGGAAGAATTAAATTTTATAAAAAAAGAAGAATTCAATGAAGAAAAAAAAGACAATAATACTACTAATATACTAAATGAAGATTTTAAAAAAATAAAAAACTATTTTGATATAGAAGAATATGTTTTGTTGGAATTTCAAAATTTCATTTACAAAATGGAAAATGAATCAAAGAAAAAAATGCAAATAAAAGAACAATGTGAAGAAAATAGTTTAAGATATCATTTTAGTGAAAAAAAAGAATATATTTTTAAAAATGTGCAGAATGAAAAACAGAAAATTAATTATTACGAAGAATTTATTAACCAAAATAAATTTTATCAAAAAGATTATAACAAAGACAAAATTATAAATGATAATATAATAAATTTTATATGGAAATATATATTACTAAAAAAGTTAAATAATAAAATTGGTTATGATTTTATAGACTTTATAAGAAAGCATAAATATGAATTATATTATAGTTATGAAAAAAAGGATATAATAAGAGAAAATGAATGTATGAAAAAAGAAAAGAAAGAAAAAATAAGTAAACAAAAGGTACTAACTAATCTGTGTAAAAATTATTGTTATGAACTAAACAGAGAAAATGATATTATATATATAATAATTACTAACACAAATAAATACAATTTAAAATTAAATTTTGATTCAAATCATTATATAAATGATACAATAAATAAAATATTTCATTATTGTATAAATGATTTAATTTTAAAGAAGGAGTGGAATGGAATATCTGAGTTCATTAATGAATACAAGCTAAATAAAAATAAAAAAAAAAAATATAAAAATATAAACATAAAAACTTTGAATTCTCAAAGTTATAATAAATTAAAGCATTTAAATTTTATATATAAAGAAAGAAATAAAGATTATTATTATAAATATTTAGATCAAATATTAAAAGAAAAGAATGATTATTGCTTAAATCTAAAAAATAATTTCTTTTTAGATTTTTTTATTTTTAAAAATAAAATAAATTCTATGAAAAGTTCATTTGTAAAACTTTCTTTATATTGTGATAATATAAATTTTTATGAAGACGAGATAACAATGAATTTAAATAAAAGTGAAAAAATATGTAAAATATTCATTACATCAAAAATAAAATCATTGCATTTATTAAATCCTTATAAAATAACAAAAGATGAGGACAAATGTATTTTTCTCAATTGTCTTTATGTAGATTATGAGATACTCAAAAATTATGAAGAAGTTAATAAAGTTGAAAAAAATGAAAAAATAGAACAAATATGTAAATGTTTTGATGAAATATTAAAGCCATATGAGATCATAATATTTAATTCTTGTAATTTAAAAAAAAATATTACATGGAGTTTTAGTAAGATTTTCTATAAGAATAAAAAAAATACAGAATTAAAGTATGAAGGAGAAACAACAAAAACAAATCAAGAAAAGACACAGAAAACTGAAAACAATGTAAATGAAAATATAAATGAAAAAGAAATAAATGAAGAAAATAATATCCATACGGAGAAATTTTTAAACTCTTCTAATAATATAAATTTTAGAAATGAAGATTGTGAACTTAAAATTGATAGTATGAATAGTTGCATAAACACAAAAGAAAAAAAAAAAATTAAAATATTTTTAGAAAATATATTACACAAAGAAGGAAATCATTTATATAAAATCAAATGTAATTATGAGTACATAGATGACAATAGCTTGAATAATAGAATAAAAAATGATGTTTCTAATTATACTATAAATGAAGATTTAAAGAAATTATTATTTCTTGATTTTTACTTATATATTAATATTGAAAAACCTCAAATAATGCTATTATACAATAATCAAGTGTAATTAAAAAATTAATTTAATATATATATATATATATATAAAGATAGATAATTGTATAAATAATTAGAAAGACAAGTAAAAATATGCATCTTGATAGATAAACATATAGAAAAGTAGATAAATAAGTAAAAATATATATATAAAACACAAATGATTCATAAGTATATAAAATATATATATATATATATATATATATATATATATATATTGAAATAATTATTTCATATAATTTAATTGTATTTATTGAATATCTTTCTTTGTAGTTATTATGATAAAAAAATTAAGTTTGATTTCAATTATTTCAATAAAAAAGCTTATAAAAAAATAAATAAAATGTACAAAAGTCAAATTATTAATGATATAATATATGAGGATATGAATGAAATAAATAAATATTTTGATATAATTTTTTTGAAGAATAAAAATCTTAAGTTATATTTTATTAATCAACAAGATATTCACTTTTTTACTTATATTTATACAAAAAAATTTTTTGTAATAAAAAATATTTACATAGATAATGAAGAATTTGATCATTCTAATACTCATATTGTAAGTACATACATATATATATAAATATATATATATATATATATATGATTATTATTTTTTTTCTTTTTTATAAAATTTTCATATACATATATATTTCTATTAGAAGTATTTTATTATTTTTTTTTTTTTTTTTACATTTATAATAATGTTTTATTTGTAGGTTTACTAATATATATATAGATTATTATAATTTTATATTATTTATTTCTTTTTTTTTTTGTAGTTTAATATAAAAAGAAAATGTAATGTCTGCATAGAATTAGAAATAGACGAATTAAAATTTAAAAATGAGATAAAAAACAATATGAATAATTCTTCTACTTTGAAAAATAACATAAGTAAAAAACTTATATATGAAGATTTTTTAATTTTTCAATATTTAACAAGCAAAAATCAACAAAAGTTCTTAATTGAATGTCATTATAATGTTTCCTTTATAATATTAAAAGAAAATAAGTATATATTTCATGAATTTAATAATTTAAAAAGGAAAGATCAAGGAATAAATAGTAAAGAGCTAAATGATATAGAAAATAATCTTTTAGATAATATAAAAAAAGGAAAAATAATTTATAATGAAATTGAAGTCAAAAACAATATTTACTTTATTTATATTCATTTTACTGAATTAAAAATATATAAATTTTGTTTATTTTTATTTAATACAACAAAAATTCCTGCTACTTGGAATATAAAAGAGAATTCTTCAAACCTTGTATTATCAAAAAAATGAAATAAAATAAAAAAAAAATTAAAAAAATAATATGTTCATATTTATATACTTAATAATTGACGTTCCTATTTTTTTATTTAAAATAAACATAATGAATATTTTTTTTTTCTTTGTTAGATTTCAAGTTCATTAAAAAATATAAATAGTAAAATATTTCATTTCAGTAAAACAAAAGGCATATTATTTGGGGAAACATATGACATTCATAGTGTAAATTCTAACAAATATGAGAAAAAAAAAAATCCTTTTTTATTTCCTGATTATTTAATAGTAACATTTGAGTAATCTTTTTTTTTTTTTTTTTTTTTTTTTTTTTTA